GAAAGGAGACAAGCAGAGAGACCCTTGCAGTAGCCCAGATGAAGGATGATGGTGGGCTGATATTGGGTAAGAAGCTATGAGGATGGAGAAATGTAGGTGGACTGGAAGAAATATTTGGAAGTGAGAGGTCAACAGGAGGTGGTGATAGATGTGAGGCAAGAATGATTCGGATTTGGGTTTCGGGCAAGTAGGAAGAAAGTAGAGCTCCTCACTGAGACAAGCAACATAAACTCAGAAGGTAGGATGGGGAAGGTGAGTTCAAGGCCATGCTCCCATCTAAACTCTCACCAGTGAGCTCATTCCTCTTGACTCTTTGCCTCCCACCCCAGTCGTGAATGATTCCCCAACCTGAATGAATCTAATCACTGGCTTCTTCATTCCTGTTCCTGAAAAGCTTGCTCTGAACATCTAGAACAATCTCCTTATTTGTCCACATTGATCCTGCCATACACTGTGGGGTTTAACCTGAGTAGGGCTCTCAAAGCCCCAGTAGTGGCTCCTTTTTAACCCCAGCTGTCACTAGGGTAGCAGTTTCCAACTTTTTATATTCTCCCCAGGTCATTGTTTCTTCTAACAGATGTTCTAACCCAGGGGTTCTCAGAGTGTGGTTCCTGGGCCAGCAGCATCAACAATCCCTGGGAACTTGTTAAAATGCAAATTCTTGGGCCCCATCAGAATCAAACTATGGGTGGGGCCCAACAATTGTTGTTTTCGCAAGCCTTAATGCTTAAGAATCAGGGTTCTAATTTGTGGTCCTGACTTTTTCTCCTTGAAATCTGTCCCTGAGTCCCCTCCTCCTCCTCCTGCATCCTGAATTCTTGAGTCCCTTAAATCCATGTCCTTGGTTCTCTTCCCAAGTAATCTAGTTTACTTCCATGGACTCCAGAACACTTTTTCTAATAATCCAGTCAACACCTCTACCTGAATCTCCTCAAACATAAATCCAAACCAAATTCCCCTTCTCCCACCCTATCTCTAATATTTTTTATATTCTCCCCCTGATTGATTTCATAGTTCACCCCTCTCAGCTCCTAGGCTGGAGGTCTCCAAGTCATCTCTGACCCCTTCTCTCACCACAGAAATCTCTTCAACTAGCTCCTTTTCTATCACTTCTTGCCACTTTTGCAATCTATTCCCATCAAATCCTTCACATACTACCTGCATCGTCCTTTTAAAAGAAACCAGTTGAAAAAGATATACATCCCCCCCAAAAAAGGTATACAACCCACTTCTTAATTTTCAATGACAAAGCATCCAGAAAGGATGATCATGGGAGTATCCTTAATATCTAAGTTGGCCATATTTAAACAAGTCCTAGGAAGAGTCTTCCCATAGGGCTATCCTATAATGGGTGCCTAGCAGACACTAGGTGCTTTGTATGTATTAAGCTAGTCCAATCAGCAATCTTCTGGGGAGGCATGTCTTCATTCACAAATCACAACTCTGGCATACACCAGCTCCTGAGGATGCCAGCCGGCCCCCCTCCCCACCCCCCCGAAGTGTGAGGAGCCTGCAAGCATCTCTGCTCTTCTAGCCTGGTGCAGTCACCCCTGCTAGTGTCTGTAGCAAGTCTGTCTATCTCAGCCATGGCTCTTGTCAGATCTTCATCGCATCTACTTTTCCTTGGACAATGTCATATCCTTGTCTTCATTTCAACTATTAGATTGATTTATTGCTCAAAATTCTCACTCTGTTTGTGTTTCCTACAAGCAGAATTTCCTGGCTGAGAGATAACATTTTCCCAATGGGATATTTGAGGAGGTCAAATCAGGTTGATTCAGTCCATGCCCAGGTCATTGTCGAGGAGTAACAAAGATGTGCTTCTGGTCTGAATGCTCAAACTGAATTACGTGATACAAACCACATGCAGAAATAAATTATATTCTCCATATTAAAAAAAATTACAACAACTCTGTGGTGAGAATTCAGAGATGTGGCTTGCCTAAAGCTACATAGCAATTCAATGCCAAATCTCTCTCCCTCACCCACCTTGCTGCCTCATTTTGTATGGCTACATGACATTATGACATCTACTATCAGTAAGCCAAATTTAACACCAGTTTAAGTCCACTTCCAGGTCATTGACTTCGTTAGGAAAGCTTAACCTAGCTTTCTGGCCTCTAATTTGCAACATACTGTAACACTCTAATGAGCCACAGACATTTCTTCTTTCCTTATGGATTTATTATTTTTTTTTTTCAGTGGCTTCACACAATTGAAATTTATTTTTTATATATCCAATAATTCATGCAGGTATGTAACAGGCAGCCTTCACCACAAGGAGTCAGGGACCTCCATTTGGTCAACCCCTAGGGACTTGGGGACCTTCTCTTCCATCCAGTGGACAGAAAAGAATAGAGTGTAGGAATTCCTGGGGGAGGTTTTCATGGGCCAGGCCTGGACATGGAATCCATCACTGTCTCATATATTTGCTGACAAGAACACATTCAATGGCTACATCCAACTGCAAGGAAGGCTGGGAAATTGTTGGGGTCCAGCCCCAGCAGGTCCAGGGGTCCCCAAAGGTGTGGACGGAGTCGGCGAAGAAGGAATGACGTGGAGACAGCGTTCAGTTGATCAGCATAGCGAGGTTCTCTTTCCAGGTTCTCCAGCCAGGTTCTCTCCTTATGGATTTTTAAATAACTAAGCAGTCAATACGAAATCAGGAGATGACTGGCCCTGTCCCAGAAAATGATGTTGTGCTTTGCTATGGATGGAGTAGGAAGAAGTCCTTGCTGTAACTCCTGGGCTGCCTGCCAGCCTCCCTGCCAATCCTGGTTTCATGCATAGTTTCGTACATGGTTACACTACAGACACTAGGTAGTTTCTTCATCTCCCCAAGCCCGTGCCAACAAGTAAATGGAGGAGATGGTAAATTGAGGATGAGTCTATAAAGAAGTGAAGAATAAAAACTGGTCAATTACATTTTATTGCGGTTGCTCTATATATCCTGATATTTGCCGGCAAGCTTTAGAGAAGAAAAACAAAAGAGAGACGTGCATGTGTTTGCTCTTGTAAAAGGGTACAAACGAGAACAAGACTCAAGGTAAAGAAAGCATCTTTTATAGATTTATTGGTCCATTACTTTAATTGAGGTAAAGAAACCTTGAAAATTTACAGGCTAACAGTTTATCAAGCAATACAAATTCTTCTGTTTACCTCAAAATGTAATACTAATCCCATAGTAAACAATGGACAGAATGTTGTATACACAGACATATGAAAAAAAGTGGACAAAAACCTCGTGCCAACATCAACAATGCAACAAAAGGTCTTTTTTTCTTTTTACAATCTCTGGATTCCACAACAGGGGAAAAAAGGTGACATTCTTTTTAAAATTTGGTACCTTCATGACACAAAGACTTTGATCTGTAAATGAATCACTTTCTCATTGACACACATTCTTGAATACATTTTTTTTTTTTAATTCACAGCTTTTGATTTGGCTTAATGGCAGCATGGAGAGAGAACACATTTACACAGAGGACTTGATCAATACCTCAGAAGGTGTTTTTTCCTTTAAAAAATTTAAATGTAAAGAATGACTTCTAAACATAAGAAATACGGTCCATCATTTGGACATGACCTAAGCAAAAGGTTGTTTTTGTTTGTTTTTGTTTTGTGTTTTTCAACAGTTAAAATACAAGTAGAAAGTCTGCTGGCAGTTTATGGCATGGGAGTACTATCAGGTGTACATCATTTCCCCATGCATTCCCAACTCATAGACCTCAAGGGAGCAGGCACACGGAAGTACAGCGGACAGGGCATCTGCAGGCCGGACCCGAACCGCAGCGTGAGCAGGTGACTGGGGTGGACTGTTCAGAGCCGCTGGCTTGTTATTTGCTGAAGGCCCAGGTGACACGGGCACCATTTCAACATACCGAGTCATGTTTTTGTTTACAATCTACTTTCATCGCTCCATTTCCACACCGAGGAAAAAGCATCCCCCCCCTTCTTCTTTCCAGTGTGTGGCTGGAGGGCTGGCCTGGGACGGTGCACCAGCCTGTCAAACAGGGGTGCTGGCAGCTGTTGCCTGCTCTCACCTGGCCTGCAGGGCGCCAGAATCCCCCAGTGAGAGCAGAGCACGGACAATGCTCAGTCACTGGTTTTCATTGAAAAAGCCTTAGTAAAACTGACTAAATTATGTGAGTCAACGCAATACGTTTTCTGTTTTTGGCATTTCAACCTGTGGAGCATTTCTTCCTGAAATGTGCTGGTCTGAGGCCTCCACGGTATCTCTTAAAAAGCTGCTCTGCAGAATCAGGGTAAAGCTTTAATACTGTCATAATCTATAGGGTTCTTTGTATCTATGTGATTTGTCGATGCTGATGCCATTTATCCTCTACAATCAAACGTGTGCCAAAAGGCACTAAGTTAGTTTTTCACACTCTAAAACAAAAAAGGTCTGGTGGTCCCTGTGTTTCCTTACATTATCAAAAACATCATTTGGCAATAGCAATACTTAGCTTTCTCTTCCCACAAGGCAGAGCAATGGGGGGTCGCCTGCCTAAGGGCTATGCTATGGGGGCATCCCAGATCAATAAAAGCTTGGTGAGGCCTGAGCACGAGAGGAAGTCCTTCCCCTTGAGTTGGACTTGCCTGCCTGGCCCCCCAATATTTCAAATTATCTCTTGTCTTTTCATTTTCATTTGTGTGCGGTTCTGCTTCCAGTTCCTGAACCCGACCCATGCAGGACCTGAGAAGGAAACACTCAACATGAATCGTAATGTAAATATCTGATATGCAGGATGGTCTTAGGCGACCCCTGTGAAAGGGTCGTTTGACCGCCAAAGGGGTCGTGACCCACAGGTTGAGAACCACTGCTTTAAGAGGACTGAGGACTGACTATGCTAGATCTCTTGTGTTTAGGCTGAACAACTGATTACATTTCTAAAAACTCTTTTTTAAAAAAATCCAGAATCTAAAAAACACCCATTGAAGAATAAGGCATTTTAACAGGTGTTGACAAATTCTCAAAAAGTAGAGTCAGGCTTTTAACAGTCTTTGGCATTTTAAAAAGTCTGGATTTGTTTATTTTCAAGTGCTAAGTACACAGAATGTTTATGTATGAGACACAGAATCTTACTGGTTTGTTAAAGTTATTTTTTCAAAGCCCTTATTTACAGGCTCTCTATAGTAGCAAAAACTACCTGGATAACGCATTTTTCTGCCACACAGAAGGGATCAGACAGCCTTCCCCAGAAAGCATTTCAAATACATACGATTAAGAAAGAACAGTCAAATCCCCTGTAACAAAGTCCCTCCCCACCTTTTCTAATGCAGCCAGCCCTGCGCATGCTCTAATCTGTGCAGCTATGGGGAGACCAGACATCCCTCACACAAAAAGCTAACCACCTACTGGGTGGATTGATCAAAACCCGGGTTTCTGGTTTAGTCACTGAATTAAAAACTCACACACACACACACAAAACCACACACACACACACACACACAAAGCCACACACACACACACACACACAAAGCCACACACACACACACACACACAAAGCCACACACACACACACACACACAAAGCCACACACACACACACACACACAAAGCCACACACACACACACACACACAAAGCCACACACACACACACACACACAAAGCCACACACACACACACACACACAAAGCCACACACACACACACACACACAAAGCCACACACACACACACACACACAAAGCCACACACACACACACACACACAAAGCCACACACACACACACACACACAAAGCCACACACACACACACACACACAAAGCCACACACACACACACACACACAAAGCCACACACACACACACACACACAAAGCCACACACACACACACACACACAAAGCCACACACACACACACACACACAAAGCCACACACACACACACACACACAAAGCCACACACACACACACACACACACAAGGAAGAGGACAACTCCAAGACACCGGGCTCAATCTGTCTGGCCCAGGGGATGACATTTTCCCCAAATTTACTGCTAAATGCCACCTGCCATCCAAATAGAGAAAACGTAGTAAGTGAGAGGGCGTGTCCAATCAGTTGCCATCTTGAGGACTTTTGAGAGGGAAACCCCCATTCCCAACATCATTTTGTAAACGGAGATGACCAAAGCGGTGTTTCCCCAACCTCATAATTAGATTAACCAGTTTCCAGACCTTTGGAGTAGGCGCCTAGGAAGGCGGGGTCCAGGATGTACGCCCGCCCTGACCACAGGCAGCCCCATTTGCTCAGCAGAGGCACTTTTTAGTGCAGCCAGAGCAGAACCCAACTCTGACCCATCCCAAGAGCCAAAGAGATGAGGCCAACATAGACCCAGGAGGTGGCTCTGGACCTCGCTGTCCCTCCTCTCACCCGTCAGGACACAGTACAGAGAATGACTGTTCTCAAGCCCCATGAATGGCATCAAAACAGCAACTGGTGCCCATGGTTTCAATGCTCCCAATCTCAGGGTCAAGTCACACAAACTCTGGGTGTTTCTTGGACTGATGCCCTCCCGAGAGAAACTCCACTGGCCGACTGCCGCCCTCCTCTAAAGCAGAGCTTCCTGTCGTTCTGTCACAAAAGGCGGCCTCCCAGGAAATGAGCAGCACGTGTGCATGGACAGCGACTGAGAAAACATTCAACAACATGCAGAACACGCTCCGGTGTGGCTGAAATTTGGCATGAAGACCAGCTTACGTTACATTCCCCAGGATCCCAGCGTGGTGCCGGGTTGTGTTATTTCAACTAAAGAAAGGTGTCTGGTGAGTTCAAGGAGCAGCACAGTGAAATGCAAGCTGACCGCCTCCCAGATGGCACTCTCGGAGCTCACCGGGAATCGTCATTAGGCTTTACTAAAGGAGTAAGTCCGGCCCTGTAGGATGGGCCTCTTCCATCAGGGGCAGTGGTTCCCTGCAGAGTAGCCTAGGATCTTCCTGAAGGCCCAGCCAGCGATAAGGAAGAGCAGTGTCCGCATCTGCTGCCATCTTATCTTCAACACCACCTGCTCTTTAAAACCTGCTGTTTCTAGGAACCCTCTCTTCTGCCTTGGCCTGGAGTTTTGACCTGGGAAGTGAAACCTGTCGTTTCCCAGGCCCGGGGCCAGCGGACGGAATGACTGTCCATTTCACTGCCATGTGCTCAAGCCTCGCAACCTGCCCATGTCTGCCTGAGGTACGGTGCACCTGCAAGCAAAAATCTCCTGGAAAATGAATACAAGACAGGAGCCGGTGCTCTCAGCACCACGCTTTGTGGAGACAAGGAGGAAGGGGCGACGAAGCCTCGATGAGGCAGTCTTTGGCACAGAAGTCTCTGGATCACACATCTCCTAGGGCAGTGGTCGGCAAACTCATTAGTCCACAGAGCCAAATATCAACAGTACAACGACTGAAATTTCTTTTGAGAGTAAAATTTTTTAAACTTAAACTATATAGGTAGGTACATTGTTATTAACTTAACTAGGGTACTCCTAAGGCTTAAGAAGAGCCACATTCAAGGGGCCAAACAGCCGCATGTGGCTCGCGAGCCGCAGTTTGCCAACCACGGTCCTAGGGGATCAATCACCTTTGTGCTGGTCGAGGTGAAGAGGCGAATGTTTGGGCCTGCTGACCCTCAGGGGAGCCCTTAGAGGACTGAAGAGCCTCCCTTACTGCCTACTGTCCCTGCCTCCTCACCTTAAGATGCCAGCCTAGGCCATTTCTCCAAGGAAGCCTGTGCTACACACGGCTTTCCCCAGACCTGCTACCAGTAGCATGCTGGAGGGCGGTGAGCCGTGTTTCAGCTGTTGCTGGCATCTTACGGCAAAGGAACATCACATGGGGGCCAAAGAGAGGAAGACAAAATCCCAAGATGCCCAAACCCTTTCAGAGCTAGTCTTTCACCTCCAGAAATGTTCAGAGGTGACTGCGGGCCCTACGCCCTTCCCCAAATGTCCCACTGATGAACCTCGCAGACCACCGTCTAGTTTTCCTGTAACTCCTGCCATGGTTCTTTCTGAGTATTCATTACACTGGGCAACGTTTTAAAAGCACACATTCCATAAGGCAAGGCTTCACACATTCCCAAAGATGAGTGTTCTCTGCTGGGCCCGTCTAGTGTCTTCTATCAAATCTCAATAGAGAGCCATCAACCCACCCTGATTCTACCAGCAAGCGGTCAGGCTGGACCTGGGCACCCATGCCCACACCAACGTGATGGTTTAGAGGTAGAATGGAGCACTGAATCACCCTTCGGGGTAGATGGACTGTTCTCATCCACCTACTTCAATGAATCATTTCTAATCGTACCAAACTGAAGATTCACATCAGAGGGTTTGCGCACAGCACGAACAGGGTCTGACAGTGCAGTGAAGTACCCATTGATATAAAAATTATAATTTAAACCGCGACTTTTTCAAACACGATGAAACAGAACCAACTGTCCTGTGCCGTCCAGCTGCTGCCCCGACAGCATCACAGCATGGCTGACACCAGGCCAGCTCTGCCGTCGGAAGTGGAGTGGCGTGACTTCAATGTGCCGCACGCTGGCTGGCGGCACCTGCAGGTTACCTTCCGCGTGCAGGGCTGTCTCCGCACGACTGCTTCATTAAAAAAAAAAAAATACTACCGCGTATTTGAGGCTCAGATTTATAATTTTATAAGGATGAGCCGCGGGAGAAAGAACACAAACGTGACATGTAGCTTCCGTTCAGGAGAAGAAAAAAACCTAGTTGGAAGATAGATTTTTTTTTTCCCCCATCTGCTTGTTTGATGTTGATTTTAAAAGTAAACCTGGTAATAGTTTGGAATAAAGACTAGATGCAGCCAGCAGGCCCCAGGAGCTTGGCTGCAAACTGACCTTAGCTCCACCAGAAGCAGAGAGTCCACTGCCGCCGGTGTCATAGTGGAGGTTCGACCAGGGACTGACTTTGCTCCTGGTCAGAGATAGTGGGGGTTAAAGCACTTCATGTAGGACATTCACACTGAGTTTGCAGAATCTCGACTGTGTCAGAACCACACACCAGCCTCTCACCAACGCGTTGCCCGAGCACTCAGTGGACGTACTAGGAAACATTAAACTAGGACTTTTTGGTGAGGTAAAGGCAATTGCACAAAGCAGATGTGGGAGGCGGGGCTTGGCATCTGCCCCATGATCTCAGCAACAGGGGGAGCTACCCTGGCTTCGAGACTATAGCTACTCCCCCACAGGCCTACTCTCTACTTTGATGACATTTCACAAACAAAACAACAACATGGAAGGACGTCACAGAGAAAAATGCACCTTTTTTTCATTTTACACAAAAACAGTTTCCAATCTTCCGCATTCTAGTGTCAGAAAAAAGTTTGGGGAGCCCTGTCCTCCAGCTCCCCGAGGCTGGTACTGGTAAGGACAAGGACGCTGGCTGGTTGGCTCTAGTTCGGATGCATTTAGACACTGATTTAAATGGCCCCGCGGGAAACAGGAACCATCAAACAGGCACCACTCATCACGAGCAGGCAGCAGGCCACACACGGCTTCAGGCCACTGTACATTAAGGACCTTCACGGAGGTGCCAACACCTCCTGCCAGGCTGGGACATGTCACTGCCCACAGAGGTCAGTCCAGAGCTGCTGTGTGTCCACAGGAAGCAAGAATGGCCTCCTGTTTGTGCCTTCCTCACATCCCTGAAAAGCGGGGCCCGGGTTCCCTTCCACAACAGGCAGCTCCGCTGTCCCAGAACAGGAAACTGTGACAAGATGTCAGAGGGTCAACTGAGGATGTCTGGTCCCCCGCTTTCGAATCTTCGTAGTGTTCCGTGTCATAGCTTCCTTCACAGCACGGAGGTCTGCTGCTTTTGCTGAGAGATGAATATAGCCTTACACCTCCGCCAGGGAATAAATACTAAGTGAAAAAACTGTCAGACAAAGGCAGGTGGGGAAGGGAAGGAAATACACGAGGAGAGATGTTTCTGTGGTTGCTTGCTCGGGGCCTGCTCTCTGGCACAGCAGGGACATTCCGGGATGGCGTGCCGTGCCCTGTGTAGGTAGAAGAGCCTCTGTCCCCAGAAGGAACTCACTTGGTCTCTTGCTTCTCCTGTAGAAGCGGAATAATCGACTCCCACGCCATGAGGCACTGAAACAACAACACGGGGCACGGAGTATCAGCATCGGGTTTCAGATTTCGGGGTCAGCTTCTTAATTCTGCTCTAATCCTGCCGGTCCTGCCGGATGGCCTTGCCTAATGATGCCCACTTGCGTTATCCGTAACTACCAGCCAGGGAGGAGGTAACAGGTGCTGGTTTTGAAAACTTCACCCCAATTTCTATGAAAGATACACAGTGTCTGTACGAGGTCGCAATGCTCTGTCCATGCTACATGCTCACATCCAGGAAGTGGAAATGGAGTCACTGAAGGAAATCCCTTCCCTTCAAAGAGCAGAGAAGAGGCCAGGCTGCGGACCCTTGATGAGGCCCCAGGTTCTCAGCCAGGACGGGGACATGGCTCCAGGTATGGGTGGTGCCTGCATAAGGCTGGGAGTCACACTGGAGTGAGTCAGCCACCTGGCTCTGAGGGGGTGGAAACCAGCCTTCCTCACA